GAAATGTATCAGTAAAATTATTGCTGAACGGATAAAAGGCTCTTTGGATGTTCTTATTAGCAAGGCCCAATCTGCGTTCATCCCTGGGCGTCAGATCACAGATAATATTTTAATGGCGCATGAACTTGTTGCTGGGTATCAAAAAATCTGAAGGGGAACCAAAATGTGCGTTTAAGATTGACATTCGGAAAGCCTATGATACAGTTGACTGGCAATTTATTTTAGAGATGCTTAAGGGAATGGGTTTTCATCCAGTTATGATTACTGAAAGGGGAAAGCAACCCAGACAATTTTATAAATACTAGTAAAAGAGAGAAAAGTCAAGAGAGCATATCAGCAAGAGACGCTACGRCAACTTTGGCTTACAAACCAAGCCATAAGAAGCCAAAAAAGACAAAGAGAAATGCACCAATAAGTAATAATAAAGCAAGACAAAAAATAAAAGGAGCAAAATCCCGCCATCTTCCAAGAACGAAACCCTTTAGCAAACACCTTTTCACGCATCACTGAGAGGTATGAGTTTTTGTCTAGCCTTCCACGCCATTCTTTGAAGAATCTGACTCTTGATCTCAGCCTCCACTTTCTCTCCAGCTTGATTATACTTATCAAAAAAAATTATGTTCCTTTCCCGCCATATGTGGTATACCGTAGCAGATATACCAATCTTTTGAACCGTGGACCATGACTTCCACCCTTGAGATAAACCCCTGTGAAGACTCTAATCACTTCGCCTCCTTTCTCTATTTGTGTTAATGGACGGCCGGAGGGTTTCTTTCATGGTAAGCGGGGCCTTCGACAAGGGGATCCTTTATCTCCTTACTTGTTTACTGTGGTTATGGAAGGTCTTTCGATGCTTCTTTCAAAATGTATTGAGGATGAGGCAAATTTTGCGTACCATCAAGGTTGTGCTGAGATCAAGTTGATCCATTTATGCTTTGCGGATGATTTGTTTATTTTTTTCTCGGGGGGATACTACCTCAGTGGAAGTTATAAAGCATGCTCTCCAATTGTTTGAAGAACGTTCGGGTCTGTCTCCGAGTCTGGAAAAAAGTGAAGTGTTTTTCGGGAATGTGGGGTTGGAGGTTCAAAATCTTATTCGTAATAGCTTACCTTTTCGGCCGGGGGTATTTCCTATTTGCTACCTGGGAGTTCCTTTATCCCCAGTTCGATTGAAGGTAAGTGATTTTAATCCCCTTGTGCTAAAACTTAAATCTCGACTTTTGAATTGGAAGAACAAATTCCTTTCCTATGGAGGAAGACGACAGCTTATCCTCTCTGTTCTTCATTCTATGCAAACCTATTGGATGTCGGTATTTCTAATATCGGCAACCACAATCCATGAAATTGAGCAGCTGTTTCGTAATTTTTTATGGAATAAAGCGGA